AAAAGGCCTGATAGTGCCAAAAGTTGGTGTTGCCTAACTTTTCATAGGAAGAGTATTAGAACCTAAAGTTTTAGGGTTAGCAGTTTTACACATTGAAGTTTTGAATGAGCAAAAACAAAATCGAAAAAAAATTTATTGCGTGCCTCGTATACTCGATGCTCTCATGGGCGCTCTCTTAAAATTTTAAATGAATGAATTTTAACTTGGAGATATTAAATTTATAATTAAATTTGAACATTTTGTTCTGGATGTGACAAGTAATTACTTTTTATTTCTTTTAAAGTTATTAGAAAAACTCTAAGATTTATTTACAAGTGAAATTGCAGATGTAAATTAATTCATTTGAATTTTTCGATTACATAGAGAAACGTTTTTTTTTTGTTTTTAGGTTTTCTTAATTTCATCGAACTCTATATTTTTAAGCTCGAAATCGAGACTCATATTTAACTAATTCAATTAAAATCTTACCCATATTCTAATCATAGCAATTTTTGTTGGATGTTCAAATGTAATATAAATAAAATGATTTTTACTATGTGTAAATGGTGCAAGCCACATATGAATATCATCACGAGTTTTATTAACACCATCAATTAAATTTGTTACAACACGTGGATCATTATCATATTCAGGTAAAATATTTATATCTGCTGGATCTGCTGTTATCTATGTTTTAAATCAATTTTATAAAAAAAAAAAGAAAATCTATTTGATTTCATACTTTTCGAATTATAACTGGATAACCTTGACTAGAAAATATTTCAATGCCATTTAAACCAATATAATGACGATCACCCCATGTTGTTTTTAAATTTAAAACTAATTGTTCACCACTAGGTAATTCAGGTATTGTAAATCTAGAAGAATTGCGTTATTTTATTTATTTTCTTTTTTTGTGTTCTTATTCAATAAATAATAGAAAAAAAGGTATAAATTTTACTGTTCTTCATCATTGTCATTTTCAAATTTTGATGTACTATTGGTAAAATATTCTTCTATGTGTTCGTCTGATATCAAAAAGAAAAATTAAAATAAATTTTCAATTAGAAAAGATTAACTTTTTATTTTCATAAATACTTTCAAGCATTCCAAGATGTCGTCGACTGAAACGATCAATTTGAGTTATGGAATTTTCAAGCCAATCTGTATTTGGTGTTCTACGGTCTATTTTTTATAACAAGATAAGCCAGCTATTTGAATTTCGTACAAAGTTCTTTTCTTCTATCATAGTTGAATAGATCTCATTGAGTTAGTATTATTTTTTTTTTAGTGAAAATTAGGTTACAGAAAAACCTATAGAAACTGACATATGCGAAAAAGATTAAATCTCGGTATTCTCAATAAGTGAGAAGTGTAGGGACTGAAACTCTATTCGATGGAATTTTTTTTTTCGCGTCTCTGAATATGATGTTCGTTTCATCTGGAACCGAAGTTTTAATGGTCGAATTCTCTAAACAGGAATCTAAGTTTATGGTGTGTTACTATCATATAAAAAAAAACCGATTTTCTCAACAATCTATGTTTTTTCAAAAAGCATATGTAATTTTGTGAATAAATATTAAGGTTATCGAGACTTGATATTTTTTGAATATATCAAAAAAACAATATTTTTAAAGGTAACTCAATGAGATCTATTTAACTAAAGATATTCTTCAAATTTCTAATTGTCAATATTTTACCGTTGGAACTTGGATCACGAAATGGACTTTGACGATTTGACATTTGTTGAAATCTCGGGGATTTTTGATCATCAGTTTCTGCATCAATATGAATTTCTCTATTCAAAAAAAAAAAAAATCATTAATATCCATATGAAAAATATTTCAAAATTATACTTCGGATGTAAAAGATTTTCAAGATCAAGACTATCAACTACTCTTGCTTTTTGTCTTGTTCCAACGACACGTAATAGTTGAGTATTTGAATATTTATTACTATTCTTGATTGGATCGCCTCCGACAAGTCGTGTTCCTATTCAAATAAAAAGTAATTACGACATCAAGTATTTCTTTCCTTCAATGATCTCTGAGAAAAACATTTATACGCAGTTAAGTAAAAAAAAAAAAAAAACTTCATAAATTTTATTTTCCTTTTCAAAGACATCCTGGTTTTTTTTGCTTAAAGGAAAAAAGTAAAAGAAGAATGTTGTTAAAATAATTAATTATAAATTACTTTCGGAAAGTATTTAGTAAAAGAATATTTATTATAGATAACATAATGATTATTATTTTTGATGAACTAATCCGTTGACATATTATTATTCATTGAAATCGAACGAAAAAATTTTTTCTGAACAAAAAACAAAAGCAAAACTATTACCCGATTGACTTTCTCCTGATCTTGATACATTATAATAACTTGGAACAGGATTTTTGGATATATCTCGACGACTCATTCTATTTTTTTGTAAGTAGAAGATAAGAGACAAATACGTGTGTGATATATTTTTCAACTAACAATCAATAAAAAAACAGTATGTGCACAAAAATTCACCATTATATTATTTTAAGAATACTTGTCTTCTGTTTCTTTTTTTTTTTCTTGTGTTCTGCTTTTTTCTTTTTATAGAGAAGTTGCTAAGTTGCCTTCTTCTTAACAACATAGCTGTCGTTGGTGAAAAATTTTCTTTTTTTTTTTTTTTTTATCTTACCTGCCCGCCGACGATGATTCAGAAGAGATTTGTTCTTGAGATTTATTTTTCTCATCATTATTTTGTTCATGCATTATAGACTAAAGATTAATTTATAATTAGATTGATTTTTTTTTTGTTCGTCATTATTTATAACTTACTAATTTAACTAGTGTTGGAATGTCATCGAAAGATAAAGCTTAAAATAATAGTATAGGGATTTGTATTATAAAGATATTAACTTACAAACACGATTTAATAATTGATGATCATCGTCATCATCATTATCATCATCATCATCTGAAGATTCTTCAAAATCGGATTCATAATCTATATTAAAAAAAAACCACGAAAAGATATAATTTTTCTTCGTTTTTTTTTGCATTGAAAGAACACGGATAAGATCGTTTTTTTGTATTCAACAAAAATCAACTCTACTTTTTGTCGATTTCTGGTAAGACATAATACCTGATGATATTACATAGGTTAGTTGTTGTACAACTGCTAACGTCCTCTAGGAAGACTGTTGAAAAAATTTTTATCTTTGTTTTTGTTGAAACGAATAAAGGCCGAAAAATGATTATATCAATACTTAAAGAAGATTATATGATATTGAATTTCTTAAGATTTTAAAAAGATCTCAAATTGTTTTTGATATACCATTCTTTTTTGCCTCGTTAAGTCCATCATTCGATAGAACATTATTCACTCCGAATTTTACATTACTTCTAATCTTCTATCAAGAGATTTCGGAACTCCGACTTTTTCGACCACGATAGAAAAAAGCTGATTTTAGACTAATAAATCCTGCTGACTAGCTTTTATAGTTTATATTCGAGTAAACTAAATTATTTTATCAATAACAAATCTTTTCTTATGATATTAGAATAATCAATGAAGAACATGTATGAGCAAAAGCTAAAGGATTGTTTTTCTTGATTTAAATACTTAATATACTGATACCTATAATCAGTGTATTTGACCCCATTAATGAGTAGTTGGCAAAAAAGATTTAGTCTTATCCGTCCTAGTTTTCTTATTTACCTTGAATTTCATCTTGATTTGATTTTGTATTAGAAAACCAATTTGGCATCCAACTTTGATTAATATTTTCTGATTTCATTTTACAAAATGATATTTGATCATTCAAGTCATTAGATTTTATTTGGCTAGCATTTAATTCAATAACATGATCATTCCATGCCGATTTTGGTAATGCTTGATTAGATGTTCCAGCTGATTGTACTGCACGTTTAGATGTAACTTGTTCAGATTGTTTATTATTAAATAAAGATTTTGAATATGGTATTTGAGGATGATGATGATTAGAAATTGAATTTTGATCAATATCAGCAATAATAGAACCTTCAGCAGTTTTTATTTTTGTTTTTGTTGATGATGTCCATCGACGACGACCATTTGATGGTAATGAATTATTTTGTTGTGTTGTATTTGATGGTGTTGGAAATGAAAAATCAGAAAAATAAGGTGAAGGTGTTACAATTTGATGTGTTGGTCCATCTAAAAAATGCAAAGTGAATTATAATCATAATTATTTCTTATCTATGATTATTTTACTTATAATTGATGATGGTCGTCGTTGTCGTACACTATGTGCTCCATTTAAATATAATTGAAAACCGGTTTCACGTTTTTTTAAATTACTATCTTTTGGTGGACGTTGATTATGATATGCTTTAAGAAGACGATTTCGTTCTTGTAATTGAATTAAATATTCATCATGTTTACTTGGTACATCACCACGATGAGCTTGAATCTATGAATATAACAAAACAATATTACAAACAAAAAATAAAAAAACTTTTATATCTTACTGCACTTTGACTTCGATTTGTTCGTCTTGAAGAATTAAGAGATTCAATAGAATGATCATAAGTTGTATTCGTCATGATTAAAAATATCTAGAATCATTATTTTTAGCAATACGATATAAATTTAATAATATCTAATGAAACTTTAGATTACTGTTTATTATACAAGAACTTGAATAGCAATAGAAATCAATCGTTCTTCAGATGATCAACAAGTTAAATTCACTGTCGATAAAGAATTGTATTTAATTTGACATAATAATATGTCAAATCATGATTACTTTTCTTTTTCCAAATACATCCTATGACTATTTCGAAACAATATCCATTTTAAATGTTATATTGTTAGAGGTATCTTGAATACTGTTTAACTCTATGTAAAATAATAAATTTTTTAATCAATAATAAATAAATATTAATTTTGAATTATAAATTTTTAATATAACTTTAAAATCTTTTGATTCTAAATAAAGATGTCGCTTATGTATAATCTATATAAAAAAATAGATTTTAGCCATCCAATTAACTTTTTGCGGCAACAAATCAAAATCATATTTTAGACTTTGCTGGAAAAAAAAGTCATTGTTTTGATGTTCTATATGTAGAATTTATTCGATCATCAGACTATGAATTTTTTATTTAATTCTATAGATTTATTCAATGACATCTCGTAGTAATACTACAAAACTTTCTAATTTATCTGTTCAATGGGAATGGGAAGGAGATAAAGGTGTTTGGCAACAATATCCAATAGATATTCAACAAAAAATTTCTGAAGCATTCGATAATGACAATAATGAAGTAATTCATAATTAATTTTTCTTTTTTATTTGATAAAATTATTATTTTTTTATTGTGTAAGGTTATTGTTAATCAAACAGAAGAGATAAGTATATTAATTAAATTTCGTGATATGATACAAATAAATCAAAAAACAAAATTTATGCGTCGTATACGTCTTTGTATTGAATTAAAAGATAAAAATGGTTTTTTTATATATGAATATGAAAATGAAAATAAAAAATGGTTTGCTTATAATGTTGAAATAATGATTAAAATAGCAAATGCTATTGAAAATGATCAAACAATATTATCAATCAATTATCAAAATCAATCATATGATATTGATTTTGATAAATCAATTGAAACAAATTTAAATACTAAAATTATTCGAAAAATACATTGTGTTAAATCAAGTTTGTTTGTTTGTTTGTGTTTTTGAATTAAAATTCGTTTTTTTCTTCTTTATCTAGTGGCAAAATTACCATTGAATGTATCAACAATATCAAATAAACGATCATTAGATAATGATGAGAGTATAGAAAAGAATAAGAAAAAACGTGGTATATCAAAATCTACTCCAATAGAAAAAAGTGCAAGTAAGAACTAATGATTGAAATTACTAACGAGAAAATTTCTTCATCTGTCTCCTTCTGATTTCACTGTTTTTTTTTGTTTGTGTTATGAGACTTATCACCCAACAAAAAAAGCTCTGTATTCTGGTATCTTTCTTCAAACAAGAAGGAAATAAAATGCATACAATGGAAGCCCATAATTTTCGAATTAGCTATTTTCAACACTTGTTTAATGATTATCTCATGAAAACATCGTGTTATCAAGATGAAAAATTTCATGAAATTTGAATGTTTCTGATCGAAAATTGATTGTAACAGGAGGAGATCTTAAATAATATCTTTTCCTTTCTAGTGCGTACTGTGACAACAGTTATTGGAAAAGTTCCTGTTGATTCTGAATGTGTATCAATGTTAGGAAAAGCTCATGTTTATTGTGAAAATAATGATGTATTTGATTGTATGCTTAATCAAGTAAGAGATTTAAGTACTAATTTGATAATAAACTGATTCGATTTTTTTTAGACAAATGTTGGAAATAATAATAATAAATTTTATTTAATTCAATTACTTGAAGAAAATAATTGTAAAAAATATTATGTTTGGTTACGTTGGTATAAATTGTCATTTTAAATTAATTAATTAATTAATTAATTAATTTTTTTTGTCTTTTTCAAAAGGGGACGAGTTGGATATAATGGACAAAATAATTTAGAACATTACGGTTGTGATTTAGATGAAGCAAAAAGATTTTTTTGTCAAAAGTATGTCATTTCGGATTTTAATGCATTACAATATCGATTAGAACAGGCTAAATCGAATTGATTTGTAATCAGTTTAATATCAAACAGAGATCTTACGATTTGTTATCAAATATGAAAATATGATATATCGAGTAACATATAATGGGTAGATCATAATGAATCTGATTAATTGTAAATGCAATTTTTCAAAAAACGTGTAACATTGCCATTGAGAAATTCACTAGATTTCTATAGAAACGAAAATATTACATTCATTATTTGAAAGTTAATTAATTTTAATTAAAAAGCTAATTTTTAATATAAAAACTAATGTCCTTTATATATACATTAGATTTAGTGATAAAACAAAAAATGATTTTTATTATCGTAATACGTTTACAAAATATCCTGGAAAATATGATTATGTTCAACTTGATTATAATCCATCGGTAAGATTATTAAACTTTTAAGGGAACATATCCAATTGTCGGCTGCCGTTCGAGTGTTCATGTGTTATTCAGCCAGAGCTATGATCATTTTAGAGTAGGTTTTCTGTTTCTGGGTTAGCTATTCATGGAAATTATAAGATTTTCATCTGAAGCTTTGTCCACAGATAGTTCTCATAACCATTAGAATATTCTAAAAATTTCATCTCAAACGAATATATGTTTTTTGAAATATTGAGTGTTTAAGACAAGTCGATATCTCAAGAAGAATATGTTCGTTTGCGTTGAAATTTTTAAGATATTCTTATGGGCGTGAGACTTATCTATGGGCGAAATTTCAGATGAAAACCTCGTAATTGAGTTTTTCATAAATAACGGGTTCAGAGGCCGAAAGTCTACCAAAACGATCATAACTCTAGTGTGATAACACATGGACCTGAACTATTTTAGAGTTTTCTCAGTTTGCCTGGCGAGGGAACAATTTTTTGTTTTTGTCAAATTCGCAAGAACAAACAGTTTTCTTTGATGAAAGTAACTTGATATGAACAGAAATCGATACGCAGAAGTCATCTCGTTATCATAAGTGAAGATATCACATCTATGTTTCTCAACTAAATGTTCATCTGATCGATCACTTATCATTTTCGGTAACATAAAAACCCAGTTGATAGGGAATTAAGTTGGAAAAATAGATCACTAGTTGTTCTTAAAAATTTGACAAAAGCGAAAAATAAAATGTTACGTCTACTACGTAGTAAGAAAAAGCCAAAAAATGAAAACGTTATATAGAATCGTTTTTTTTTAAGGGCGAACCAGAGACAGCTACTTAATTATGTTCTCTCGTGAGTTCTGCTTAAAGCCAAGATATGAGATCAAACAGCGTCCGACAATTGGATATTTTTGTCTTATTAATTTAATTTTATCATAAATATTATTTTTCTATCAATATAGACATCCGAAAAAGTTGATGAAAACAATAAAAAACAACTCGTAACTATTGAACAATTAAAAAGTTTACCTATACCAGAATCAAAACTTGATAAACGTATACAAAATCTTATTCATTTAATATGTAACATACAAGCTATGGAAGAAGCATTACTTGAAATGAAATTTGATGCAAGAAAAAATCCTCTCGGTAACAAAAAAAAAAAAAAAAACGAACAAGCATTTTTTTCTTATCGATTTTCTTATTGTTTTTTTTTTCTACTTAGGTAAATTAAGTTCAACACAAATTAAAGCAGGTTATGCAGCATTAAAAGAAATTGAAACATATATAAAAACAAATAAATTTAATTCTGCATTTATTGAAGCAAATAATACTTATTATACTCGAAGTATATCTATTAGATATTTTGTTTAAAAATTTATTTTCTTTTTTATTTCATTTAGTTCCACATGAATTTGGTCGAAGTACTCCACCATTAATAAAAACAATTCAACAATTAAAACATGAAATTGAATTACTTGAAGCACTTGATGATATTGAAATAGCATTTACAACATTAAATATAAATACAAATACACGTTTAAATCCAATTGATCAACATTATGAACAATTAAAATGTAAATTATATCCTATTGAAAAACATGAAGATATTTATATATTAATTGATAAATATCTTCAATCAACACATGCATCAACACATCAACAATATAAAATGGAAATAGAACATATATTTAAAGTTGAAAGAGAAAATGAAGATAAATTATTTAAAGATGTTGGAAATAAAATGCTTCTTTGGTATAGGAAAAAAAAACATTTTATTTTTTGTCTAAATATTAAATAATATTATATATGTATACGATAGGCATGGTTCACGTTTAACTAATTTTGCAGGCATTATGAGTCAAGGTTTACGTATTGCACCACCTGAAGCACCTGTAGTAAGTAAAAATTAATTCAAAATTTGTATCATATGAATATTAATGCGTTGAAAATATGGACAATCAATAATCTCGAATTATCTTCAAGCGACATAAAATTCAGCTGTAACTTTGGACAGAAAGCCAGTCTGATGCAGAGTTCTTACGCTTAATTGCTTGAGCTCTCCATACGTACTAACTAATCATCAGAGCTAGTTAGAAATTTCTGTGACTTTTCAATCCAGGCCGATATATTCTGAACGGTCATAACCACTATGTCGGCTTGCCGAGTGCTATATTATCTTGTTGGACACTACGTTTTAGTGAAAATGTATACTGCTAAGAACTATGAAATGTACCAAGTATTCATAAAGAATAATGCTTTTTATGAGAATCCATGAGAGAAATTTAGGTTCGGTCCAAAATTCTAACCTCCCTATGTCACAATATCGTCAGCATGCTATTGAACGAGTCACCCAAGACAAACAGCCGTCAGTGACTTGTCAAAGATCATTTCATATCTAGGTTTGAATAAAAACTTTGGATATGTGTCGAAAAACATAGCTACTTAACTATGCTGATTCTTACTAATGAGCATTATGTAATTGTGCTCGATTTCTAAGTGAATGAATGTCATAATTATTTGAAAAACTTCAAGTTGAATCAATGTT